ATTTTGATAAACAACTGATTTTGTCACGGAAATTTCGCAAAATTGCATTTTCAGAGGTCGCACTGGGTGGGAACTCAGGAATGGATTCTAGACGGTCAAGCCCATATTTTTTGCCAGGTATTCCGTACAGTGATGGTAGCATGCGACTGTCGCAGCTAGCACAGCTTCGCGGTATGCATCCGGATTTAATCCGGCGAATGATTGACAACGTTTCATTTATATCCGATTATTTTAGAGCTTTAAAAAAAGCTGATAAAGTGAGTATCTATAGAAGTGTTGTCAATATCTCGAATAATTTTACTGTAGAGCATCACTTATACTATAACTATCAGAATGACAGTATTTTACAGGTCCATGTTACCAAAATTAATTGACTTATAGGTTTCTGAAGATTGGTCTTACGTTGCGATGGTTATGGACCGCCTATTATTTATCCTGTTCACTGCGGTAAATTTAATCGGTACTCTGGCGATATTCTTACATTCGCCAAGCATTTTTGATACTCGGCAACCGATAGCTTTACAACCATCGATAAAGCCGCTTACTGCAGATATCTATCCAAAATCACTTTTTTTGCAACAAGGAACCATAGAATATGAACGAGCTTATAATCTTTCGAAATGTCCATCGTTTCAAGAATAATTGTTCATTTGGCTAGTGACTAATGTGATAATTTTAAGTACAAGTCTGTTTTCTTTTCTTTGAGCTGTTTAAGCCATATGTGACTTATTTGCTCAGCTTTTTGTACAAACACTAAAACCTAGATGTTTCAAGTTATTGACTTATATTACACTCTGCTTGGTAAGTTCCAAAAAAAGTAACGGCAAGAAAGAAACAAAGTTCAGCAGGCCTTAATGTGTTAATGTACCCTTATTCCTTAATTTGTCGCTAGATTTATTACTTAAGTGTAAGGGATAGATTAACATGTTACGTCTCCGTTTCAAAACATTTTTTAACGAGGCTATAAGTTTCACATAAACTTCTTTTTGTGCTATGAATGATGTTAACCTATGCAAAAGAAAAAGTATAAAGTGTTTCAAATAAAAAAGTAAAAATTATAAGAAAAAGAGCAGCTTTTTTTTAATGAGAAATTCTTTTCATATGAGAAATTTAAATCACTTAGTGTCTTCATTCTTTCTCCCTCACTAATTAAAATTACTCAATATTTTCAAATTATTGACTTATATTACATTCGTTATCTTAAAGTATATATGAATTTTAAATTTCTCAAATACACCATTCTATTAGGCGTTTAGGCGTTCTGCTTAGGCGCATTCAGTGGGAACCTTAAGTAGCAACAGCAACAAAAATAAAGATTAACTTTGAAAAAACAAAGTAAAGGTACACCAACTAAAGATGTGAGAAAAAAATTCAAATTTTCATTTGTTAATATAAATTGTGTTGTTTCTTCACTTTTATTCTCTTGTTTGATACTTCTTTAATTAGCAAATACTTAAATGATATATGTATTCATTTGTTTCGTTTTGTAATGCTTGGAAAAAAATTAAAATGTTTTTGTTAAGAAATTAACCTGTTAATTTGGAATGGTTGTGCTATTTTTTCCGCTTGCTGGATTTTTCTGCTTTACGACGAGAAGGAAAATTTTTGAAAAATTTTTCAGGACCGGTGACAAGAGGTTTACAGGGAGAAAAAGAACAAATATCTGATTTGACTATAAGAATCTATTCAATCTACGTTCTTGTAACGTTAGAGTATAGTAGAATGAGCGTACTGAACCAGAAAGGCAAACAACGCCAATAAGTGTGTTTTCCCGTTGATATAGTTGATACAATTATTTAGTGGACATCTTCTAGACAATTCATCTGCTATTTTAAACTGATTGACCATAATACAAACCTCTTCTTGCTTCTACTAATACAAATCGTACTTTATGAATATTGAAAATAAAATATGCCCACGACGAAAGTTGGCCAAAATTGAAGACAGCAGCAGAAAGTTTGGCTTTATGTGCTGAAGTGGCAGTAAGCAGAAGGCCAGAAGGTTGGGCTGTAATAGTTGGAATTGTTTGCTAAAGTTTTGTCGTTATTGGAAAGAGGTCGCGCTGCTATGATGAAATAGTGGTAGTGATCGAGCCAAATTATTAAGTCCAGTTCCGATACAACCATGAGCACAGCAATAAATGCAGAAGAAGAAAAAGACGAAGGAGAAGAAGACGAAAGGAAACATGCCGGCTGTGTGAACTCAACTTGCATTATTTGTTAAGCTTTCGCCTTCTTCATTGTTGTTCTTTGTATATCAACTTCGGAGTTTATTTTCGCTGTTCGGTGTCTTTACGCTAGTTTTTTTTCGATTGCTGTTATTCTCAAAAAGTCACTGCCACAGTCAACGTTTCGTCAGTACTTTTTTAAAACCAAAAAATCGTTTAAATATCTGGTTGTTTTCCAGATTTGCAATAGCAGATCATTGGCCGTTCATTATTACAACAAAATATGGTCCAGTTTATTGTGGAAAGGTTTGCTCTGTGAGTTAATAAAGTTGAAAGGTTAAGCGGTGTAACGGAAATCAAAAACAATATAGTAGAGCCTAAGCAGAACGAACTTCATAAGCCATGCAGATAGATTTTTTTTTCTTTTGGCAATAATAAACATCAAAACTAAAAAAAACACATTTAGAGAACATAAAAACATTTGTCATTGTGGTCAAAGACAATGATTTTTTTGGTTCTCTCTAGCTCAAACAAATTTTTAATGATTTTTGAGGTGAAGAAAGCAAACCCTCTTTCTGCCTTTGGATTTTAGAAATGGTGTTAGTTTTAGAGTGGCCTGAACATTCAGTTCTGTTTATGGAAGTTTGTTGATTGGTCTTAGATAGAATAGGACATTACTTTTGACCAATAAAACTTTAATTTGTCATCATTTTGCGGAGTTGGTAAAAGACATTTCTTCGTTCAGTTTTCGTATCAATCATTGTTCCATTGGAATATTGGAAATGATGCTGCGTTTTAATACTCTTTCTTCTTTTCCTTTTTTTTTTCGTTTAAATATTTGCATCGTTAATTCTGACATCAAAAAGCCTGTTCAAGAATTCAATTATACTAATACTAAAACCGAATGTTAAAAACTTTGTTTTCTTTTACTTTTTTCTTTTTAAGTTATGAGGACTAAACGAAGGAAGAATAAAAACAACCCCAAAAAAAAACTTCTTTGTGATTTAATCTGCAAGTACCAAAAAAGTTTCAAGTTGTTTTTACTGCATCGTCAGTTGCGCTACCGCCTAAATGTTCATCAACTTGCCGAAAATCTTTAGTTTTTCTGGCTGTATGACTGTTCTACTTATTCCTCTCTATATGGTTCTAGAAGCTTTAAAGGTTTAACGAATAAAGTTACTTCATGGCATAAGCGCACCTTGAGGCTTCTCGTAACAATATACATTTACAAGAGGTACTTGGTGGAGCATGGAGTTCTAATGATTATTGGATGATTGACTCGTACTTCAGTTTCACCTAACTATTTAGCCGACTAAGTGACTTACTGACCAACTCCTTAACATTACCGATTGATGTTGCTTCTTCTATACGTCATCTTTATTTTAGCATCCGGTAAGCCATGCTTATCAGATTGATACTCTCTTCATTCTGTTTTGCTTCAAAATTCGACAAACAAAAGCTGCTTTATATATAATATGCCAGCTCAGTTTACCATCACGAAGTTGTTCATCCAATAATTTTGTTTCTCATACTACCATTTTTTTGCTGCATTTTCGTATGTAATTTTAAAGAAGATAAAGGAAAATTTTTTTGGTTATGCTTTTTAGGAAGCTGAATTGCTCTTTTTAAATTTTTGTTGTTTAAACAACGGCTTTTTCTATTGCAGTAACACTGACCACAGGTAACCGATATGCTGAGCAATTGTACGAAGATTTGCTACGTCACTATGACAAAAACGTTAGGCCGGTGAAGAATTCAAGTAATGCAGTTAGGGTAAAATTCGGTGCTTCACTTATCCGAATCATCGATGTGGTTAGGTTTTTTCCGTTTAATTTCTGTGTTTACTCCCGTAAAAATTTTTATCTTAGTAAGGCTTCTAATTACTAAAAGAAATTTTTTTTAGAATTTAAAATATTTTGCATAAAACTCTTACGTTTCATTTTATGAAGACTAGTGTCTGTTGAAACTGTCTCTTTCTAACCGAACTCTTATCAGCATATTTTCCTTTTCCGCTCAAACATGCGCTATGGTTTTTCTTGCTTTCTGATAAAGTTAAAAGTTTTCATAGAGATATCAAATTCCTTGCCACTGGTACTGCGTAGGTTGGTTGATTTCGTTATCTAACTAGGGTTTTATTCATTTTGAGGCACAACGACCGGAGTCTTAAATGAATGGAACGTAGAAATAATATTTCATACAAATAGAACAAAAATTAGAATACAAAATCTAAAAAAAAAAGCTTCAGACTTAATTATCTTTCAAGTGACCACTATAAGGTAGTCGGCTAAAAAGACCTTTCTGTGACGAGCACTAAAAAGGATTTCAAATTGTTTGTTTACAATTTCAAGAAACTTCAGTGCTTTTAGTCATAAAAATCAGTCATTTTTTTAAAAAGAAAACAGTGGATATTGTTAATAGCTAATAATGATGAAATATGATCTTTTATAAGGTGCGAATCCTTAAAATCGGCAAATGAAGAGAAAAGTCTATCATTAACTGGTTTAAGAAACGAATAAAAAACGATTTAATACTTCAACTTTAAAATTTCTTTTTACAAAACATTTTAGCTATTTTTCTTTTGCATATAGAATTCCAGGCAAAATTCAAAATGAAAAAAATTAAAAAAAACTAGGCGTTTTCTGTAAATGACGAGTTCACGAGTTCGTTTGCCGCTTAGTTTCTAATTTTATTGAACCTTCATTTCTCCCTGCCCACCAGCGGTAATGTCACTGGGTCTGATAATCGATGGCGCAAATATTTCTGATACCCCACAATCGGAAGGACAGTAGGTAGCAGGTTGACCTAAAACACTAAGTATTCTGCCTCTTCTGTGCTATTGAATTAACAGTAGTATTATTTGCCATAACCTACTTAATATAAACCCATTAAACCATTTGAAAAATTTTTTAGGTTAGGAAGTTTTGATTCGTATACAATTGCGAGGGCAAAACAAAAAAAACCAAAATTCTAAATTTGGACCTGGCTCTCCTGGAGGTCCCCACCCTCCGCTTTCTCCTTCTGTCCCGAGTGCTCCAGGCTCTCCAATAGGCCCTGCTTCGCCTGGTACTCCCGGAAGACCAATTTCTTTAGATGGCTTGCCCCTTAGGCCCATTGGTCCTTTAGGTCCCGGAGGACCTGGCGGTCCTTTAGGACCTTTCGTGCCGATTCCAGCTATTATGAAATCTCCTTCTGGCCCTAGGCTGCCAATCAATCCTGGAGGTCCAGATGGTCCAACTGGTCCGGGGTCACCGACTGGACCATTTATACCAAGTCCACCTTGTGGGCCAGGAGCGCCTTTTGGACCCTGAAGTCCAGGCATTCCTCTTTCACCTTGGAAACCACTAAAATACATTGTTTTACGCATATCTCTCACAAAAAGTTATTTTTTGTTTATTAAGAGCTGCTTAAATAATTAATCACCGTTGGCCGGGTGGACCAGCAGGACATATCACACAAGGTGCCTCGTCTTCTGGTGCCAGTTCAATATCAAAACCATCATCTCCTGCTAGTCCAGGATTGCCAGATTCTCCTGGCGATCCATCTTCTCCAGGCGGTCCAGATGGCCCTGCTCGGCCCTGAGGGCAACTGGAAAATTTCTGCCTTATTTATATAGTTTTTAAAAGCAATTTTGAAAGGTTTTTATTGTTTCTGCTAAACTTATGCATTTTACAGGTCGATGCAAGGACCTACCTTAACAAAAGACAGCCTTTACAAGTTTTACTTTCTGATCGGCGAAACCTTCCTGAATAAACTGGAAGACTATTGTCTTCCTTGAATGTTTCCATATTTTTCCATAACTGATTAGAATCGTCCTGAGATATACGATGAATATAATGAGCATTTTTGAAATTTTTTTACAGAAGAGTTAAAGAGAAACCTTAAATTGCAGTGCTGCTTCAGCAATATCGTATCTGTCGCTTTCGATTTTAAGATAGATCAGTGGAACAACAAATATGATGGTGATTAGTGAAACGGAACTAAAAATAGCACTCAGAAGTGCCAAATTTTGAAAGTTTTTTTTGTTGTTCATCTGAAAAATGAAAGTGAAAAAAAAATCTAATTTATTTTTCGGTTTACCGCGGTATCGTTATTGCGCACGAACAATTATCTTAATCGACGTTCTGCTTTTATCGTGTTTAAGTTTTATATGCAGAAAAAAAAATTTATCTTTGCAATTTTTCTGTCTAATTTTTTTTGAAGCAGCTTTCTCTTTTTTCGACGTGTCATTGAAACAATTTTAAAAGATCAAAATAAAAAAAACACTTGCAGTAACAAATTTAATGAACATTAATCTGAGGCACTGTGACTTTTTTAAAGATTAAAGGCTTTTTTTTGTTGGTGATTGTAAGGAAAAACAAAGAAAGTACTTCAGCTGATGAGGAGATGAAAAGAAAAAAGAAGTGGGTTATTTTGAAAATATTTAACCAATCTTATGCACTAACTTTGAAGATTATCTGATAGGAATTCTTTAATGAAAATGTAGAATTTGTTTGTCATCTTCTTCCTCTTCAACTATATATCAAAAATATATGAACTAAACAACTTTTCACTTATTAAATCGCAAAAAAAACTCAAAAAATATCTCTTTTTTTATAACAGCACAAATTGCGAAGAGAGAAACCCAAGTAAAATTGCAAAGTAAATGACCAAAAAAACGCATAAAGAACCATTATTTTTTAAACTGCGGTCTGAGAATTGATTGAAAAAAGGCATCGCACATATCACTTTATATACCTAAAATCGCATTACCTAGGCTGAATTTGTTTAATTAAAGCTTATTATAACAAGAGTTCTATAACACTAAATATGAGGAAGAGCTGAAGTAAAGAGCAGCAAAAAAAAAAAAAAAAAAAAAAAAAAAAAAA